GTGGTATATAAGCCGAGGTTGCTGGGCTGTGCTGGGACAGACTTCTCATATAACCACATGAAATGGTTCAGACCGCACTATTTTTAGGTCTACTTCTGTTTGCATCAAATGACGCCAACCTATTCTTGACTCTGCTTGTAATAGCCGTCACGCAAGCACAACTGAACTTAAAATGAGTTTTGTGGGAGCAAACATTTTTTTGTATTTTTAAGAGCAATTTCCCATGGTCAAGAAAAAAAAAGCGTGTGGAGCATCATAGGAAGCCTCTGGGCCAGTCTAGCTTTGACAAACAAACATGCAGAGACATTGGCTGAGCGATCGCTAGTGATATGACATAGAAGGCCGTTCTGTACCTCTGTTTGTTTTACAAATTGAAGCAAAGTTTTAAGCCAGCAGCAGAAACCTCTCTGTTGGTTCTGGGACAGGCGCCACCTGCTTGTGTCACATGGGCTACATGATTGGGAGGTGGGAGGTTTGACCTTTGGAGCAGTTCCAGACCTTGAAGAGTAGGGAGAAACAGCTGTTGACATTCAGCTGGAACATTATCGCTTTTCAGTGTTTTTCTACAGCACTTCAAGGTTATTTTTCACGCTTTCACTTAATCATTTTCATAACTTATAACTGATACTGTAATGTCAGTAATTTGACACTGAAGTGCCAATTCAAAGGCCAAATCTGCAGTGTAAGGACAATATACTTATGCTGTGCGATACACTGCAATAAAAAAAAAGTGACACTTCTGTTTAGAAAGCAGGTTCTAAGCACTAAGCACTAAATGACCATTATGTTACATTTATTTAACATTTTACAAATGCCTTAATGCAAAAATAATGGCAATGAATGGAGATCAAACTTTAAAACATGAGTTAACAAGCTTATCCTGATTTTTGAAAAAAGAACATTCTTAACATTCATATAGAAGTTTCATAGTTCTTTGGCTAGCATTCTGGCTGAAGTCTCCACCCTGGCTCCATGCGCGTGGAGTTTGCGTGTTCTCCCCGTGTGGTGAGGAGTGTGCGTGTTCTCCCCATGTGGTGAGGAGTGTGCGTGTGGTGAGGAGTGTGCACGTTCTCCCCGTGTGGTGAGGAGTGTGCGTGTTCTCCCCATGTGGTGAGGAGTGTGCGTGTGGTCCCCGTGTGGTGAGGAGTGTG